TAACGTCTAGTTTGTCTGATATAAGTATGGATACTCCAGCTTTCTTTTACTTCCAATGGCATGACAGATAGTTTTCCATCCCTTCATTTTCAATCTGAAGGTGTTCTCATGTCTAAAATGAGTCTTTTGTAGACAGCAAATAGATGGTTCTTGTTTTTTTATCCATTCTGATATCCTGTGTCTTTTGATTGGATCATTTAGTCCATTTACATTCAGTGTTATTATTGAAAGATACGGTTTTAGAGTCATTGTGTTAACTGTAGGTTTTATGCTTGTAGTGATGTATCTGGTACTTTGTGGTCCTTGCAACGTTTACAACGTTTACAAGCATCATAACTTAAATGGGTGCTAAGACTCAAATGAGAAAAAATAAAGAAAAAAAAAAAACAAAAGAAAGGAAAACCTCTAGGAATAACCAAGGCCTTTAAAGAAACTGTAAGAATGCCCACAATATTGAAACCCTCCTTTTTTTTTAAAAGGGGATTTTTTTTTTTTGGTTTAAAATCTTTCACTTGAAATGAATTTATGTCAGCTGTCAATGAAAGAATGTCACTAATACACTGTGGACACCTTTGGTTTGCAATGCAAATCCGTGCCCTTTTTTTTTTTACATGGTGAACTTCAACCTAGCAATTATTACAACAAATGTTATAGTCTAAAGCTCAAACACATTTTAGCAATTTTGAAATTGAATTGTGTACAGACCAAATAAAATGTACATCATAACACACATTCCCACCTAAGACTGTGGGGACCCTTGAGCCTTCCACATCGACCTCAGTGCCTTTTCACTCAAGTGCTTTTCTCAGTCGTCGAGATTGTCTTCAGGCTCGCTTTTGGTCTCCTTAGGCTCAGGCTCTGCCTCTGGTTCCGGCTGTGCTGATGTGGTTGTGGGAGCAGCAATGGCTGCAGGGGTACAGCAGCCACAGCAGGTGCATCCACGGCCTTTTCCTTCTTGTGTTTTTTGTGCTTCTTGTGCTTCTTATCCTCCTTGTGTTTCTTGTCCTTCTTTTTCTTTTTCTTCTCACCTCTTTCTGGGTCTGAGTTCCTCGCCAGAGATGGGCTTGGTGTTGGGCTTTTAGCCTTTTTGACTGGTACCACTGGTGACCAGTTGGTAAAGGGTGACTGAGACTGGACAGGAGACTGAGTTGGTGGGGGCTTTTTAATTGTTGGCTCAGGAGATCCTGAGACAGATTGGGAGGATGAAACCCTCCTTACAGACTGAGGGCTTGGTGAGGCAGCCTGTTTTGTGTTTTTGGGTTTCAGAGTCCTGGAGACTCTCCTGATGGGCCTAGTACTTGGACATCGGACTGCCTACTTTGGGGTGATTGATGATGCTCCTCTTCGAACAGGTGGAGGACTTGAGGTCTGAGGACCTCGAAGCCATTGTGAGGGTGAATGCTGTTTGGTTGTGGTAACTGGGGCTCCTGGGTAGATCGGCTTGGGGAAGACCCTTTCCTATGCTTTGATATTAATGAATGTGAATGTCTCTTGGTGACTGGGGAGGTTCTTTGTTTGGTAAGTGGAGAATGGGAGAACCCATACTTTGGTGGTGGAGATGGCAATGCCCTTTGTTTAGGAGGGGGAGGGGGAGAAGCCGTTCTTCTTTTTGGAGGTGGAGGAGAGTATCTCCTTTGTATTGGAGGAGAGTATCTTCTTGGGGAAGGTGAGGGCCGATGGGGAGGGGTGGGGTAGGAGAAATGTGTTGCTGGCAATCCTTGGCATTTCTTGGCTCACAGCTAAACATTTGGGTTGTTTCTACCTTTTGATTATTGTGAATAATGCTACTAACATTGGTGTACAAATATCTGTTCAGGTCTCTGTTTTTAGTTCTTTGGGGTATATACCCAGGGTTGGAATTGCTAGATCATATGGTAATTCTATACTTAATTTTTTGAAGAACTTCCAAACTTTTATACAGTGGCTGCACCAGTTTGCATCACATTAATTGATTTGATATGTTGAGCCAGCCTTATGTTACAGGGATGAATCCCACTAGGTCATGGTGTAAATCCTTTTAATGTGCTGTTGGATTTGGTTTGCTAGTGTTTATTGAGGATTTTTACATCTTATATTCATCAGGGATATTGGCCTGTAGTTTTCTTGTGGTGTCACTGTCTGACTTTGGCATCCAAGTGATACTACCCTCATAATAAAATGAGTTTGGAAGTGTTTCTTCTCTTTTTTTGGAAGAAGTTCAGGAAGGATTAGTATTAATTATTTTTTGAATGTTTGCTGGAATTTACCTGGGAAGCCATCTGGTCCTGAACTTTTCTTTCTTGGGAGGTTTTTGATTTCTGATTCAATCTCCTTATTATGGGTCTCTTCAGCCTTTCTGTTTCTTCTAGATTCAGTTTTGTAGGTTGTATGTTTCTAGGAATTTGTCTGTTTCTTCTAGATTATCCAGATTTGGGGATATAATTGTTCATAATATGATCCTTTTTATTTCTGGGGCATCTATTGCAACATGTCCTCTTTCATTTATGATTTTATTCGAGTCTTCTGTCTTTCTTAGTCTTCTAAGGGGGTTGTTGATTTTGCTTGTTTTTTCTTTCTGAGACTTCCATAATGAGCATATTGGTTCTTTTGTAGTGCTCCATAGATCCCATGGGCTTTCTTCACTCTTTTTCATTATTTTTCTTTTTTCTCCTCTGACTGGCTAACCTCAAATTATCTTTTTTTGAGTTCACAGATTCTTTCTTCTGCTTAAGTCTGCTGTTGAAGTTCTCTATTGTATTTTACACTTTATTCATGTATTCTTTAGCTCCAGAATTTCTGTTTTTGTATTATTTATTTTATTTATTTTTAAGTAATCCCTACATCCCCTGTGGGGCTTGAACTCGTGACCCTGAGATCAAGAGTTATATGGTCTTCTGACTGAGCCAGCCAGGCACCCCTTAAGTTTTATTTATTTATTTAGTTTTAAGTAACTATAGTTTTGGGTTTTTTTTTTTAATGATTTCTGTCTCTTTGTTGAACTTGTTGTTTGTTTTTTTTCCCAGGTATTATTTTCCTGATTTTGTGGGGTTGTTTATCTGTGTTCTCTTTTTTTTTTTTGTTAAAAAAATTATTTTTTACTGTTTATTTTTGAAAGAAAGACATGGCACGAGTTGGGGAGGGGCAGAGAGAGAGGGAGACACAGAATCCAAAGCAAGCTCCAGGTTCTGAGCTGTCAGCACAGAGCCCAACGTGGGGCTTGAACTCACGAACCATGAGATACTGACCTGAGCCCGAAGTCAGACGCTCAACCGACTGAGCCACCCAGGCGCCCTTATCTGTGTTCTCTTGTAGTTTACTCTTTAAAACAATTATTTTGAATTCTTTGTCAGTTCCTAGATCTGCATTTCTTTGGGATTGGTTACTGGAGCCTTATTAATTTACTAGTTTCCTTTGGTGGTGTCACATTTGCCTAATTCTTGTGTTGACATTTTTGCATTTGAAAGGCCAAAAAGCTCTTTTTGTCTTAACAGACCAGTTTTGGCAGGTAAAGACCTTCTCTTGCTGGATGCCTGGACTGATGGTCTGCCTCCAGGATCATAATTGAGTGGGGTTGTAGTGTGCCTACTGCCGAGTCCACAGTGTCCTTAATTGGCAGGTCTGTGAACAGGGACATGACGGATGTGGTTCCTACCAGATCCTCAGTTGCACAGGACTGCTCTAGGACCAGAGTCCAGCAGGGCTGAAGCTACATCATGGGGCTGCTTTCAGGTCCACTGTTGAGTGTGCAGACAGTGGGTCTGTTACCAGGAGTGAGAATGGGTGTGGCTCCTACAGGTTTTGAGCAGCTTCCTGCTAGGCTCCTCAGTCCTCCTGCTGGGTCCCTGGGTGAGCAGGACTGACTCCAGTACCACAATAGAGCAGGGCTGGAGCCAGGTTACAGGACTGTTTCTGATTTTATAGTCACGACTGACGTCTGTGGGCCTGTTACCAGGGGCACAGTTGGGTGTGGCTCCTCCTGGGTCCTTTGGCAGATGGGGCTGGAGCCGAGCCTCCAGACAGACTGGGCTGTTTTAGGCCTGTAGCTAGGACCACGTTTGGTAAGCCTGCCACTGGGCCATGGGACTGTCTTCTCAAAGTGGCTGTCCTCAGCCTTAGGCTTCACTGGGGTTTCTCAACCTCCTACCTGGATCCTAGAGCTCTCACAAAAGCAGTTTTATCTGTGGTTGGCTGTCAGATTGTTGTTTGTGTAGGGAGATGTGAGCTGGGGACGTCCTATTCCACTATCTGGCCGGCGTCACTCTCCATATGTTCTTAACAGAGCCTCAGAATGAACCTGGGTTATGACAGTTTCTCTGATCGGCATTCTCCTAAGCTAAACACCAAAGTCCCCACACTGGTCTATAAGACCTGAATTCATCTGGGCCCTCTGTTTTGTTTGTTTTTTGACACTTTTTCCTGCTGTTCTGTCTCTTGTTCGCTCTGTTTTAGCTACCCTGGCCTCCTAGCTGATCTTTGAACACATCAGGCATATTCCTACCTCTGGGCTTTTTGCCTGTGGTGTTTCCTCTTCCCGAGCTGTTTTGTCCATATATCATCGTGGCTGTTCTCTCAGTCCCTTCAGATTTTACTTCAAATATTATCTCAGCAAGATGACCCCATCCATAATTTCAGTCTCCTTGCTATTTCCTACACTCTTCACTTGCATTATTTTTCCCCTTAACACTTTTCTAATGTGCCATATATTTTATCTCGTTTATTATTATGTCTCTCCCATTAGAATAAGCTTCATGGGAATAAGGATGTTTGTTTTTTTTCCACTGTGGTTTCTCCAGTACCTAGGGTAGTGCTTGATTCATAGCAAATGCTCAATGAATATTTATTGGGGGAATGCTTCATGGAATTAATTGACAGCTGTTTCAGTACGATGGATGGAAGATGGATTCACTAAGACCAGCAGTTCCTACATTCCTAGGCTGTCCCTGGTGTTCCGTTTTGTACCACATGTGGATTACTCCATTAAGATGGTCCCTTTAGATGATAACACGGTTTGGTCATTTTAGGAGAGAAATTACAGACTTTGAACAACAGAAAGCAAAAGAATTGACTCGGATAGAAGAGTTTAAAAAGGAGGAAATGAGGAAGCTACAAAAGGAACGGAAAGTTTTTGAAAAGTATACTACAGTTGCAAGAACTTTTCCAGATAAAAAAGAACGTGAAGAAATACAGGTATGCCAGTTCTTTACGTTATACTTATATAAGTTAGTAAGGATGACAGTCTAGTAAGGATCTCAGAGTTATATGATGTGTCAAAGAGAAATTGGGTATCAATTTATTAATCATTCATTGACTCAACAAATAATCTGAGATACTACATGAAGAACATTTTTTGTAGTTTTGGCTTTTAGAGTGAAATATATCAGTTGTTTTCTTACCAAAGTCTTCCAAAAAAAAAAAAAAAAAAAAGACTACAATAACGGCATCGGTGAATTAATAAGCCAAGAGTTGGAAATTCACCAGTGTCATGTTGCATTGACCTGTTTAATGTCCCACATACCAAATGCTGTTAATTCTGTTCATTTATATGAATTGAAGCCCTCTGTACTAACTGTAAATCTTGCACTCTTCCTTTGGGTAGAGCACTTGCTCACCAATCTTTCCCAGCACCACATTTGTATGTTTTTCTCTAATAGTTACCTTTCTCTTTCACTTATTGGTTTGACTTTCTGGTCTTGTAGTAAAAATCTGTTTTAGTTAGCTTGTCTTTGATGTTTCTCATAGCTTTCGGGCCTCTTTTACCCCAGTTATTAATACTTGCAAACTCTTAACTATTTATTTATTTTTGAAAAGCCAAAAAGTTTTCTTCTGTATATTACTGTCCAATTTTCCCAGCACTGTTTGTTGTTTTTTTCCATTGGATATTCTGTCCTGCTTTCTCAAAGATTAGTTGGCCATATGTTTGTGGGTCCATTTCTGGGTTCTCTATTCTGTTCCATTGATCTATATGTCTGTTTTTGTGCCAGTACCATACTGTCTTGATGACTACAGCTTTGTAATACAGCTTGAAGTCCAGAATTGTGATGCCTCCCACTTTGCTTTTCTTTTTCAGGATTGCTTTGGCTATTTGGGGTCTTTTTTGTCTCCATACAAATTTTAGGATTATTTGTTCTAGTTCTGTGAAAAATTCTGGTAGTATTTTGATAGGGGTTACATTGAATGTGTAGGTTGCTTTGGGTAGTATAGACATTTTAACAATGTTTGTTATTCCAATCCATGAGCATGGAATGTTCTTCCACTTCTTTGTGTTGTCTTTAACTTCTTTCATAAGTGTTCTGTAGTTTTCAAATCTTTGATTAGGTTTATTCTTAGGTATCTTACAGTTTTTGGTGCTATTGCAAATGGGATCGCTTCCTTGATTTCTTTTTCTTCTCCTTCATTATTGGTGTATAAAAAGGCAATAGATTTCTGTATGTTGATTTTTATATCCTGTTGCTTTGCAGAATTCATGTATTAGTTCTGGCAATTTTTTGGTGGAGTATTTCGGGTTTTCTACATAGAGTAACATGTTGTCTGCGAATAATGATTGTTTGACTTCTTCCTTGTTGATTTGGATGCCTTTTGTTTCTTTTCATCGTTTGATTGCTGAGACTAAGACGTCCAGTACTGTGTTTAAATAGAAATGATGAGAGTGGACATCCCCGTCTTGTTCCTGACTGTAGAGGCAAAGCTCTCAGTTTTTCCCCATTGAGGAGGATATTACCTGTGGGTCTTTCGTATATGGCCTTTATGATTTTGAGGTATGTTCCCTCTATTTCTACTTTGTTGAGTGTTTTTGTTAAGAATGGATCCTTTATTCTGTCAAATGCTTTTTGTGCATCAATTGAGAGGATCATATGGCTCTTGTACTTTTCTTTTATTAATGTGGCGTATCATGGTGATGGATTTGTGAATACTGAACCACCCCTACAGCCCAGGAATAAATCCCACTTCATCGTGGTGAATAATTCTTTTTTTTTTTTTTTTAATTTTTTTTTTTTTTCAACGTTATTTATTTTTTGGGACAGAGTTATAGAGCATGAACGTAGGTGGGGCAGAGAGAGAGGAGAGACAGAATGTGAAGTTCCAGGCTCGATGAGCCATCAAAGCTAGGAGGCCCGAAGGCGTGGGGCTCCTGAACTACTTGACCATGGTGATATTCCAGGACTCAGTTGAAGTCGGACGCGAATCGACTGGCACGGCACCCAGGCGCCCCAATAATTCTTTTAATGTACTGTTGGATTAGATTTGCTAATATCTAGTTGAGAATTTTTACATCCAGATTCATCAGGGATGTTGGCCTGTAATTCTCCTTTTTAGTGTGGTCTTCGTCTGGTTTTGGAATCAGGTAATGCTGGCCTCATAGATTGAGTTTAGAAGTTTTCCTTCCATTTCTGTTTTGTGGAACAGTTTGACGAGAATATATATTAACTTTTCTTTAAATGTCTGGTAGAATTCCCTTGGGAAGCCATTTGGCCCAGGACTACTCTTGTTTGTTCGGAGATTTTTGATTACTGTTTCAATTTCTTTGCTGGTTATAGGTCTGCTCACATTTTCTATTTCTTCCTGTTTCAGTTTTGGTAGTTTGTATGTTTCTAGGAATTTGTCCATTTCTTCTAGATTGCCCAGTTTTTGGCATATAATTTTTCATAATATTCTCTTACCGTTGTCTGTATTTCTGTGGTGTTGTTTGTGATCTGTTTCACTCATGATTTTATTTGTTTTGGTCCTTTCTCTTTTCCTTTTGACAAGTCTGCCTAGGGGTTTATCAATTTTATTAATTCTTTCAAAGAACCAGCTCTTAGTTTCATTGATCTGTTCTGCTGGGTTTTGTTGTTTTAATATCATTTATTTCTGCTCTATTCTTTATTATTTCCCATCTTCTGCTGGCTTTAGACTTTATTTGCTGCTCCTTTTCTAGATCCTTTAGGTGTAGGGTTAGGTCATGTATTTGAGACTTTTCTTGCTTCTTGAGGTAGCCCTGGATTGCAATATACTTTTCTCTTAGGACTGCCATTGCTGCATCCCAAAGGTTTTGGACTGTCATGTTTTCATCTTCATTTGCTGCCATGTACTTTTTTATTTCATGCGTATTAATGAGCTCCTTAGGGCTCCTCACTGCCTTCAGGTGAGTTCTCAGGTGGTGGGCAAGGAGATCTTGCTTCTGCTCATGCTCCTTGCCTCAGCTTTCAGGCACTCCCCATATCATGCACCCACATAAGCCATGTAGGTGATGAATTTTTCCTTAGTTTTGACATTGGTCTTGATTTTTATTTGTACAGTTGCAAATTGCTTCTAGACATTTCTAGGAGTTTCTTCACATATGTCATTTAGTCCATCTGAAACAGATCAGTTTCTTAAAACCCATTTCTTCTAATGAATCTGAAACAGAATCTGCTTTCAGGGCTGGTGGTTTTGACTTTGAATGTTTTATTCATCCCTTTACCTCAGCTCTTCATTCAGTTAGTCATGATTCCTGTTAATTTTTTCTTTACCAGATAATCTCCCATTTGTCTTTCTTTCTATTTCAATTAATAAGCTTAGTGTAGACCTTTATTACCTCATGACAGTGTTATTGCAGTGAACTCCTTAGTAGTGCCTTCCTTCTTCTGGAATCAGTTTTGTTGATGGTATGAGGTGAGTCTTTACCCTGAACTCCATTCCCTTTTCATGAAAAACTTGATGTTTTTGAAATGTGATTGACCAAGCCTTCCCTTTTCTGCTGCCTGTGCTACGGCAGCACTTATGTTTTGATGATGTATCTCTTTTCTTCTATTGCGTTATTCTAGTAATTTTTTGTTGTTGTTGTTTTGTTTTGAGAGGCTTTGAAACAGCAGATAGCAGATTTACAGGAAGATTTGAAAAGAAAGGAAGCAAAATGGTCAAGCACACATGGCCGTCTTAGAAGCCAAATAGAAATGTTGGTCAGAGAGAACACAGACCTCAGGGAAGAAATAAAAGTGATGGAAAGATTCCGATTAGACGCCTGGAAGAAAGCAGAAGCTACAGAGAGCAACATAAGGATGGGTCCGTGTGTGACTGCCACAAAAAAAGATGGATCCATGGTAGGTTTGGAGCCAGTTTCGTCAAGTCAGGGAGATACTAAATATTTGAGCCCTCAAATTTATAGAGCTGGAGCAGAGGAAGTGGGGAGAATGGTAGGGGATGTGATCAGAGATGTGATAGAGGGAGGTGGGACAGAGTTCATTAGGCCTTAGTTGATTCCTGTAAGCCCTTGGGTGTTTCCTCTGAGTGAGAAGTGGAGCTATGGAGGGCTATGGTTGAAGAGGGGGCCTGATCCTTTATTTTAGTAAGGTCACTCTGTCTGCTGTTGACTGTAGACTGAATGGGGAGGAGAAGGTTATAGGCATGATTGGGAATGCCAGTTAGGAGATTCTTACTGTTATTCACACCACAGATGAGAGGGGCTTAAGACTGGAAGGGCAGCAGTGGAGGGCTGAGAAGTGTATAGGATTTGTTGATAAGCTGGATATTGGATGTGACAGCAAGGAAGGAGTCAAGAATGGCTTCCAGTAGGGTTCCTGGGTGGCTCAGTTGGTTCAGCATCCGACTTTTGGTTTTGGCTCAGGTCATGATCTCACAGTTTCGTGAGTTCTAGCCCTGCATCAGGCTCTCTGCTGACAATGCAAAGCCTGCTTAGGATTCTCTTTCTCTCTCTCTTCTCTCTCTCTGCCCCTCACCCGCTCATGCGGTCTCTTTCTCTCTCAAAAATAAATAAACTTTAAAAAAAATGGCTTCCAAGTGTAGTGTAGTGATTTGGCATAATAGAGTTTCCATTTATTGTAAGAGACCACAAGAAAAGAGCATGTATTTCTTGGGAGCGTGGATATTAGGATCTCAGGTTTAGGTGGGTAAATTTGAAATGCCTATTAGCCCTCAGGTTGAGATACTGTCTGGGAAGTTATGTACATAGCAGGAGAAGGTCAGATTGGAGCTGACAGTTTAGGGGTCATCAGGATGTGTGGTAAAGCTTTGGGCTGGCGGAGTTCACCAAAGCTAAAAGTGTGGGTAGTAAAGAGATCCACGTACTGAGCCAGAGTGTGAGAAGATGGGGGGAGGAAAATTGACAACCGGAGGATGGAGTTAAGGAAGCCAGTGTGGTGTCCTGAGAGCCAAGTAAAGAAAGTACTTCCCAGAGGAGAGAGTGGCCAGCGATGTCAAAGGTTGCTGCTAAGTTAGATGAGGGCTGAAAATTGGTCATTGGATTTACCACGTAGGAATGTGTTGAAAGTAAAAGCCTGACTAGATAAGAGAGAATGAGAAGTTTCAGACAGAGAATAAGAACTTTCTGGAGAGATTTTGCAGTGAATGGAAAGAGAAGGGGTAGTGGCTGTAGGAAAGGTTGTTTTGTTTTTGTTTTTGTTTTGTTTGTTTTAATGGGAAAAGTAACAAGTGTTTCTGTATTGACAGAATTGATTCAGTAAAGAGGAAAATGCCGATGCAGGAGAAGGTGGGAAGAAATTGTTGGAGCAATGTTCATAAATGAGAGAAGGGGGGATTTAGGGAATGAAGGGAGGGTCTGGCCTTGGCCAGGAGCATGGACAGCATGTGCCTGGTAGCAGAAGGTTGAAGGTGTGGAACCCAGGCTCAATGTGTGGTACCTGTTGGTAGGAAGCTCCCTCCTAATGTTAGTATTGTCAGTGAAGTGAAAGCTTGGTCGTCAGCTGAGAGTGAAGATGTAGGAGGTTTGGGGAGATGAGAGAAGGAGAGTGAAAGGCAAAGGAACTAGGGAAGTGTAGTCTGGTTCCTGGACTGCTTTGGGAGCCTATGTAGGTTAGAGATCATATATTTCAGGTGAGAGTTGTTTGCATTATTTTCTTGTTCAGCATTTTGGTTGTAAGGTGGTGGAGAGTTATATTTTAGAAGAGGTGTGGTCATCCAGGTGAATACCACAAAGTGAGTGAGGGCATGGAGGCAACAGTATATGCAACCAGAGTCACTGCGGCGAAACTTGGTTTAAGCTGCATAAGACCATAAGGTTTTGAGGGACATAGAAAATCTACATGGATTAATGAATTGTAGGACCCTGTACAGTTGGTGGAGTTAGGGTGTTAGAGGAATGAGCTAGATATAGCAGTCTGAAGAAAGTGGGGTTCTCCCCACCTCCCCAAACCTTTTATTATAACAGCTTCCCCAAATAGAGACATTTGAAAGAACAATAGGATGACCACCTGAAGAGTCACCTAGATTCAATCACTGTTAATATTTAACCACTTGTGTGTATGTGTTTTGCTGTACCATGTGAAGCTAATTGCAGAAATCATGGCATCTTACCCCTGAATACTATAGCATTTTATTAAATGGCATTGGCTTTTTCAGTAGACCAGGGTAATTATTTTGTAGAATTCCCCACATTCTGGATTCAAAGGCTTTGAAAATGAGATGTTTGCAGTTATTGGTAATTGCACATATTGATAATGACCAGTTGTAGAGTTTGTCCATTGGTGTCCATGGCTGAGGGAAGATAGAGTAGGTTGGGAAACTGAAGCTAAGGCAGTGGAGTTATCTCCTGGCAAGGTGAGTACGTGTTGGGTGAGTTGTGGACATGAGACACAGAACTAGGACAGGGGTGGTTAGGCAGGAGAGAGATTTGGTTGGAATCAGTGATGGGGAGCAAGGAAGACCTACCTGTACCCTGCCTCTAAACCTAGGGGTGTAAATTCTGAGGGTGAGAAATTTCCATCCCTAGAAGGAGGCAGTGGTGAGCCATCTTAGTAAGGAGCTAGGGCTCAAAGTGGAGCAAGAGGTAGAGATAAGGGGGTTTTGCTGATGTTGAGGAGTAACTAACTGCCCTCTTCTCTGGCTAATCTGACAACAGTTACAGAAGACTTTCATTTTATGTTGCCTGTTATGCCCTCACTTGAAGAATGAATATACAGTTGACCCTTGAGCAACATGGGTTTGAGCTGTGTGGGTCCACTTGCACACAATTTTTCAGTAAATACGGTACAGCACTGTAAATATATTTTCTCTTCCGTACAATTTTTTTTCATTTTTTAAATTTAAAAAAAGTTTTATTTAAACATTTTATATATTTTTGAGAGAGTGCAAGCAGGGGTGGGACAGAGAGAGAGGGGGACAACTGCATTGACACCTGCGAGCCCGACGGGCTTCAACTCATGAACCAGGAGATCATTACCTGAGCCGAAGTCGAAGGCTCAACCGACTGAGCCACTCAGGTGCCCCTGAGTGTATGACTTTCTTAATAACATTTTCTTTTCTCTAGCTAACTTTATTGTAAGAATACAATACATAGGGCACATGGGTGGCTCACTCAGTTAAGCGTCTGACTCTTAATCTCAGGGTTGAGTTCAAGCCCTGCACTGGGCTCCACACTGGGTGTGGTGCCTACTTAAAAAAAAAAGAATATGGTGTATAATACATATGACATAAAAATATGTGCTAATCTGTTTATACTGTTAGTAAGGCTTCTCGTCAACAGTAGGCTATTAGTAGTCACATTTTGAGGTAGTCCAAAGTTGTACATGGATTTTCAACTGCTTCGGGGATCAGTGCCCCTAACCCCCACAGCGTTGTTCAGGGCCATCTGTTTTTCCAAAGGTGGTGTGTGTGTCTGTGTGTGTGTATAGTACATTCATAAATAATAGCTTGTTCACTCTGACCTGTAGTGATGATAAATGAAAACAACATAAACAAACTTAGGCCATTCTCCTTGCAAGCTGAGTTTTAGTTTCATTCATTGTACTAATATGTAGACAAGCACTAATTTTATATTCAAAATTATCTCATACTATAGAATTCATCAGTTCGATTACAAAAGAGTCAGATTTCTTCAGGAACCCAGGTAGAAAAATACAAGAAAAACCATTTGCCAACACAAGGTAAGAAGTTGCATGATATTTTTACAAAATATATTAGGAATTTAAAGAATAGAGAATTTACACCTAATATAAGAAGTAAAACATTGTAAAATATCATTGAAGCCCCTATGTATTCTCCCCAACTTACTTCCACCCTGACAACATTCCTTTGCTTGTTTTTCATTCTTTTACTACATTATGTCCATAAATCAATATAGTATTGTTTCTATGTATCCCTCTACAATTTGCTTTTTTCTCTCAATATTTTGATACCCACATTAATACATATAAAACTCTAGTTTGTTGATTTTAATAGCTATACAGATTCCATGTATATTTGCACAATTGAGTTTTCCTATTGATGGACTTCATGTTTTCCCCCAGTGTGTCAATAGAATGAATAAGGCTGAAGAAAATATCTGTCATGTGAGTTTCTCCAGGATACATATCAAGAGTAGGATGCTGGGTCATACCAGGTTTGTGCTACTGGAGGAGATTTTCCCTTTGCTCTGCAAAGTGGCTTTGCCAGTTTTTTTGCTGTCAGCAGAGTATGCTTTTTGTGCCTACCAACCCTTGACCTGGTCGGACTTTAAGACTGTGGCCAGTCAGATGGGCATGAAATGGTGGGTTAGTGTAATTTTAATGTGCATTTCTCTGATTCCTGGTAAGGTCATGTGAGCATCTTTTTGTATATTTAATGGACATTTGGGTTTCCTCTTTTGTTTATTGCCTGTTCATTTCTTTTGCCCATTTAAAACTTTTTAGGGAGTGGCTTCTCTTTATTGAAGTTATTCTGCGTACCAATCCTTTCTCAGTTACAAACACTGCCACGATCTTTTCCCAGTACGGGTTTAGCTTTTGGTTTGTGTTTTTTATATACATGTTTTTCCTTTAAATATGGAATTTATCCATCTTTTTTTATGACTTTAAGAAATCCTTCTCAATCCTTAGGTCACAAATATATATTTTCTCTCATTAACTTTTGTTTTCACAACTAGATTTTTAATTTACCAGGAATTTTTAGAAATTATTTTCATGAATTGAATTTATAAAAGTGGATATAACATATGCAGCTTGATGGTTGTAAAGGAAATACTTGGATAAATACCAGCAAGATAAAGAGAGTAACAGCACCCCAGAGCTCTCACCTCCATGATCATATTACATTCCCTACCTGTGTAGTTTCTACTCTTATAAGTACAGTCCTACAAAAATGCTTTTTGAACTTTCTGAATAGTTATGCTGTATGTATTCTGTTGTCTTTTATTGTACATTGTTTTTGAGAGTCATGTTGATCTGCAACTCTAGTTCACTAATTTTCCTGCAAGGCAGTTTGAATGTTTATGAATATATTAAAATTAACCTGTTGATGGTTAAATTTTTTTTAAGTTTGGGATGTTAAACAATGATGCTGTGAACATTCGTAAACGTCTCTGGTTACATTCATTTCTCTAGGGCACATACTGCAATTACTGGGTAATCAGTAAGAATATCTTTAACACTCAAATGTATGTGCTTGCACTGCTCCACACCTTGTTGATACTTGGTATTGTCAGACTTCAATTTTTGCCAGTCTGGTATGGATGAAAACTATCTCATCATATTTTTGATTTGCATTACTGGGATTACTAAATATGTTAAATACCATTGCCTATGTTTATTACCTATTTAGATTCCCTCTATGAGAAAAATTGATCAGGTCTTTTACTCATTCTGTGGTGTTGTCTTTTTCGTTATTGGTTTGTGGGGGGATTTCCCCTCCCTCCGTTGTAATCATTTAAGAGTTATACACATTGCAAATATCTTCTTCCAGTCTGTGGCCTGCCTTTTTACTCTTTATGATATCTTTTGGTGAACCAAAACTGTTTTTCTTTTTTTAATTGAAAATGTATTTGACATACAACATTGTATAAATTTAAGGTATATAATAATGTTGATATATGTATTTATATATTATAATTGCCAGTGTAGTGATAATTAATACCTCTATCATATCACATAATTATATCTTTAAAAAAAGTTTTTTAACGTTCATTTATTTATGAGAGAGCGTGAGCAGGGGAGGGGCAGAGAGAGAGGGAGACACGCCAAACCTGAGGTTCTCCAAGAGAGAGAGGTGTTCCTTGGATATTTTTTACAAATATGTTAGAATTTAAAGAATAGAGAATTTACACCTAATAGTAAGAAGTAAACATTGTAAAATATCATTGAAGCCTCATGTGGTTTCTCTCCCCAACTCCATTTCCACCCCAGACAAATTATTCCTTTGCAAAAGCTTGTTTTTTCTCCTTTTGTCATATTATGTCCATATATAAATCAATATAGTATTGTTTTCATGTATTTGCCAATTTGTTTTTTCTCTCAATATTTTTGATACCACATTAATACATATAAAACTCTAGTTTGTTGATTTTGGTTATACAAGGCAGCTGAGATTCCACATGTATATAATAATTTTCCTCTATTGATGGCCCCCAGTTTTCCCCCAGTGTGTCATTAGAATGAATAAGTGCTGAAGAAAATATTCTCCACAGTGTGAGTTTCTCCAGGATACATCATAGGATGCTGGGTCATACCAGGTTTGTGCTGTTGGAGGAGATATTTTTCCCTTTGGTTTTGCAAAGTGCTATTTTGCTATGTTTTTTTTTGTTGTCAAAGAGTATATGCGCTTTTTGTGCCTACCAACCCTGACCTGTGAGTCGGACTTTTAAGACTGTACAAAATAGATGGCAATGGTGGGTTAGTGTACTTAATGTGCATTGATCTTCTGTAGGTAAGGTCACAGAAAGACCTTTTTGTATATTTAATGACATTTGGGTTTCTTGTTTATTGCCTGTTCATTTCTTTTTGCCCATTTAAACTTTTTTTTAGAGTGGTTTTTATTGAATATTCTCATGCATCATCCTTCTCAGTTACAAACACTTCTGCCACACCATCTTCCAAATGGTTGCTTTTTGTTTGTGTTTTTATATACATGTTTTTCCTTAAATAAGAATTTATCCATCTTTCTTTTTATGACCTTTAAGAAATCCTTTTCTCAATCCTTAGGTCACAAATATATTTTCTCATTAACTTTGCCACAACTAGATTTTTAATTTACTAGGAATTCTTAGAAATTATTTTCATGGACCACTATAAAAGTGGATATTATATGCAGCTTTTAGATGGTTGTAAAGGAAATGTTTGGATAACAATACCAGCAAGATAAAAGAGAGTAACAAAGCACCCCAGAGCTCTCAATCACGATCATATTACATTCCCCTACCCGTGTAGTTTCTACCTTATAAGTACAGTCCCACAAAAATGCTTTTGAACCTTCTGAATAGTTATGCTGTGTATTCTCACTTTTTATTGCGGTCATTGCTTGAGAATGTTGATCTGCAACTCAGTTCATAATTTTCCTGCAAGCGCAGTTTAATGTCGCTTATGAGTCGAGCATTAAAATTAACCTGTCTGATGGTTAAATTTTTTTTAGGTCCTGGGATCGTTAAACAATGATGCTGTGAACATTCAGAACGCGTTGCTGTATCAGTCTATTTCTCTAGACTATACCGTACTGACATTGGGTAATCGGGGTAAAGAATATCTTAATCACTCAAATGTATGTGCTTTGCAACTGCTCCATACACCTTGTTGATACTTGGTATTGTCAGATCTCTCAATTTTTGCCAGTCTGGTATGGATGAAAACCTATCTCATCATATTTTTGATTATTACGTGGGATTACAAATATGTTAAATACATGCCTATGTTTATTACCTCCTTAGACTTCGCCAGAAAAATTTCGATCAGTCTTTACCATTCTTGTGTGGTGTTGTCTTTTCGCTATTGGTATTTGTGGGGGATTTTATCATCATTTGAGTTATTTAACACTTGTAAATTCTTTCCAGTCTGTTGTGGCCTGCCTTTGCATTCTCTTTATGATATTTCTTTGGTGCGAACCACAAACTCTTGCTTTTTCTTTTTTTAATTGAAAATGCCCATTTTGACATAAAACATGTATAAATTTCTAGGGATATAATAATGTCGATAATGTATTTATATATTATACACGTACAGTGTAGTGATAATGCCTCTATACATACGTATAATTATATCTTTTAAAAAAGTTTCTTTTAACGTTCATTTATTTATGAGAGCTGTGAGCAGGGAAAAGGGAGGAGAGAGAGGGGAGAACTACATGTAGTAGCAGGCTCTAGGGCTCCCTGTTTTCAAAGAGCCTGATGTGGGGCTCGAACCCACCAACCATGAGACGTTACATGACCTGAGTTT